AATGTCTCCCAATAGTTAACCACATCTTTTTGGTTATACATTTTATCTCTCTTACTTTTACCCAACCCCACCACATAATATCTCTCTTAAATCCTATCATATATAACTAATACACTTGGTAATAATCAATTAAAACTAATAATTATTATTAGCATACATTAATTAAATAAAATGACTTATGTTTAAAATTAATGCATTATATTATTTAATTAGTAAGTAATTAGTCGTTAATTAAGAAATACACAATAATTGCAACTTTACTAAATTCGATAATAATGTGGGTTTTTTTTCTATTATATTTTGGAATATTCATCTCTACACAATTTGATAATAAAATTGTTTCAAAAACCTCAATATTGAGCTCATTTTATAGAGAAAAATAAAATAGAGCCGTTGGTGTTTTTTTTTAAATTGTATTTTAAAAATTATTGCCGTTACAAAATTACAACGGTAATAAAATCAGATCAAATCTCAGCCATTGATTAAATGAATAGGTGTCAGAATCTCAAGAAGCCTTGTCATTATGTGTCACTATCAAAAACAATAAAATATTCCATGACCAACCTACAATAGCCGGTTATTCTACTAACCAAGTTATTGAAAATTTCCCCCAAAAATTTCTCTCTCTTTATTATTTTATTATTATTTCACTTTCACTCTCTTAATAACCAACCTCAATAACCAATGGTTGGGTATACTCTTAGTTCTACCTAGGGGCTTTGCTTAGCACGCATTAAGTGCAACAAGTACATTTGTCAACACAAGGGGTTGCGAGGAGTACGTAAAGTGCATGACTGGGCTGAGTAACTTAGTAAGCACGTTGAACACGTGATCTCCAATTCAACACACTCAATGTCTTACCACCAACCTATGTCATACTTTATGATCTTTTATGATCCCCACAATATATTATTGTTTAGTGATAGACAATATAAATAGCAAATTCAATTGCAAGATTTGATAATTGATTCATAATTTTACTGTATGTATATTAATGGTTAGCTATGTGCGATGATCCGGGGCATTACCCGAGCCCAAATACTAGTTTGTTTGGTTAAAAGTTGTCACGTGAGATCAAGTTATTCAAACATAAAGGTTAAGGCGTTAAGTGTTAATTGTAACACATTAGAAATTCCTTATTTTTAAAATACCTGTTTTACCTTGTTTAAAACTTTTAAATAGGAATATCTAAGACATTACCGCCACCGTGATAACGATTAAGGCAACTATCAAAGACACACAGCGGGAGACTAATTTCAAAACATTTCAAACCAAGTCAACATTGCAAATCAAACAATGAAAGTAAAGTCAAACCAAAGTCAAACGAAGTAAAATAAAGTCAACCTACAACTTGGAACCATTGTAGACCCTTATTAAAACAAAACCAAAATTCAAAACCCTTTTGTTAGTCACATATAATATATAAAGTCATAGATAATTAAAGCAATAACACATCCATAATACTTATAGAAACTAGCATGATTCAATTCGCTCTTCACTCATGCCCATTCATGAAAATGCTTCATCACCTGAAAAGCTTATCTCTACTTGTTTCTACTACTCTCCATCAGGGCCAAGATAAAGACAAGGCTAACAAACACACAAAACACACAATCAGCAAAGCTGAGTACATAAGCGTATTAACACACTAACATACGATTTCCTATCAACACACAAATTACCTCATTGCACCTATATTTCAAGCATACAACATTCAATAAAAGTTCTCACTAGACTCTACACAATTTTATTGAATGTTGACTATGCATCGAACGAGTTTCCTCCTCAACCTCCCCCAAATAAATTTGAGGTTACTGACACGGGAGATAACCGTGCCAACATCAATAACCACTCGTAAGTGGCGGAATTCCTGCGCATAATAATAATAAAAGGAATGTACAGCGTCCGGTACTCCAGTAGAAGTTATGATCAAATATAAGTCACATAACTCCCCCATATGTTTATACTTAAGGTATATACGTTCCAAGAGTTTGGTGTGTAATCTCTTTCACTTTACGTTATTTACAGATTATTAAACTTGGTGATGCCTCTCAAATCGTAATCATTCAATCAACAATAATTATTCAAGCAATCAAATATACCAATTTAATTCTTGAATAATTAGTGACTACATAACATTTAATGTTAAATGCTTTTTAATTCTACCTCGGTGCCAATGACACCTTAAACGCATAAAGCACCACAAATCCTATCCCTCAATGTTAAAAACACCTTAAGTGCACTAAGACACCAACATACAGTTTATTCCTCGTGTACATAAACACTTATATAGCTCTTTCGTCATGCTTATAGCATCAATAAAAATTATATGAACCATAATAAAATTTCTTTTCAATATTCCAAACCAAATTAAACATTTAGTTTAGTTAAATATGCTCTCTAACATGCCATAAATAAATATGTGGTTCATAAATAATATTCCAAACTTTTAATTTCCATCCTATAATCCATCACAAATAAATCATTCTTTATAGTCCAATCACCAATAACATTCAAATCACAATTTCCAATCCAACCTAGCATGATACTACTTGTAATCAATCAAACACATTTAGCATGCTATTATATTAACATAATTGTGCTAAGTACGCGAACGTACCTTGTGTACTATCTTAGAATCGCCACGACTAATAAAAATCACTCACTTCAAAGTCTCCTACAATTTAAAATTATAGAAGAGTATGTATTAAAATCCACTTTACACAAACTTCTAGCAATATATACTATTATAAAACCCTTCATAATTTAATTAAAATAAGCTGAAATTATATTTAAAACATCATACTTAAATCCCAATTAATGGGTAATTAAAATTCTTTAAAGAAACTTGATTTTAAATGCTCTACTAAAAATTCAGCACTATATTTTAATTAAAACTTGTTGTAATTAAGCCTTAAAACACTTTAATCAAAGGTCTAAACCATTATACATCATAACCCTTCAATAATTTACAAATCAAGAACCTAGGGTTTAAAAAATTGGGGCTTTTTAATTTAAAACATAATTTGAAAATTAATTAACATAATACTTATATTCAAACATCAAAATCAAATCCCAAAATTCATAATTAACAATTAGATTTAAGCATAGATTAGTTTTCACCATTAAAGATTTAATTTTTTTTATATGTATGTTCGAAAAAAGGGGAAGAGCAGCGGCAGCCACCACGTCGGCGGCCACCTACTACCGGTGGTCGACAGTGGTGGTGGAAGGGGGCAGCCGAAAAAAAAGAAAAGGGGAAAAGGAAAAAGAAAGAGAAAGAAAATAAGGAGAAAGGAGAGAGAAGTTTACCTTGGGTTTTCTCCACTGTAGGCAAAGTTGATTTGCCTCATAAGTGGGATATTTATACTCCTTCTCTACAAACCCTTTTTCCCTAACTTTTCTCTTTTAATTTTCCTAATCATATCCCTAATAAAACTTTACTAAATTAAAACTTTCCTAAAATCAAACCCCAACTTAATTAATTAAAGAAACTTTCCTTTTATAAATATTTCCAAACTTATTTAAAATAAATAATGAAAATACTTTAAATAAAACAATCCAATTTAATTAAATACTTCTCAAAATACTTATTTTAATTAAAATACGTATGAAAATACGAGGTATTACATTAATAATAGTATATAACTAGGTAAGATCCCGTGCCATGCACGGTGATCTATAATTACATTTATACTTATAGATTATTGATTGATAAGTATTAATATAAATTAGTCGAGGAATAACAAATTATGTGATAGGTTGATTTGATATTTGCATTTTTAAATTGAAGTTTAGAAAAAAAAAAGCAATCTTTTTCTTATTGTAAAATAGGTCACAAATTATTTTAAGAATATACTTTTTGTTTATAGTTGCCTAATTTTTTTTTTAAAAAAAAGAGTTGATATGTAAAATCTTTTAATTTTGGATATAATAATTACTACATTAATATAGAATATGTATATAAAAAAATAATATTATATTTTTGTAAATGACTTGTTTCCTTAATTAATAAATTTTTTCAATTAAAAAAAAGAAAAATAGTTAAGGACACACCCGAAGATGACATATGTCATTGCTGCTGGTGTGTCTTTTAGTATATAGTAATAATAATAATATTGATGATTGATTTGTGCTAGCAAGTTTGCAATAATCAACAACAATGAAAAATGAAGGATTGAACAAGCAAGTAATGAAACAAGGAAATTTTATTGTGGTAACCCAAGTGGCAAGAGAAAACACACCATCCACTTTGGAGAAAAATTTGATGGTGTTGATTAGGGGTGCTTATGATGCGATTCAAGTTCAAGTTTGGGGTAGCTCGACTCGACTCGCATATCGAGTCAATTTTAATTGAGTCGAGTTTTTACTAAATTTGATCGAGTCGATCTCGAGTAGCTTGCAATTTGATTCGTCTTAGTAAAAACTCTTTTTTTTTAGTGTAACATTTCTTCATTCTCTTTAATTTTGTCATATGAAAAATATATATGATATACGAGTCGAGTTTTAACTGAAATCGAACTCGAGTAGCTCACGTGTTGTCTCGTTTCATAAGCACTCCTAGTGTTTATTAAAAAGCTCTCAATTACATTTGATAGCTCACACATCTTAATTACATAGTATAAGAGCATGGATAATATTAAATTTACAAGAGGTTATTTATCTCTCAATTCATTCACATAATAACCTAATAATGACATAACATGGGTAGGGACGTAAGATAGACCTAAGAAACGATATTACGAACATAAATATCCAACGATGCTTCATTGCAAGACCCGCAAGATAACAAAGCACGACCTAAAACCCGACTTGCTCACTTAGCTCTTTCCTCAATCTATTCTTCAACTGCATTGATTTCATGATTTGTACATTAAGTCCAATAAAAATACTTAAATAATGAAAACACTCTATTTGATCTGAAATTAAAATATATCGGCTCAAAATAAACCAAATTCAAACTCTTCCATTCCAATTCCTTCCAAATAAAAAATGAACGTAGTGATTTTTTTAACGAATAAGCTTTCCCGTAAAATTTCACTGTAGTCACTAAAAAGAGAGGATCTCTCGCGCGTAAAGCAGAAGCTAAACAAGGAACCCAATCTTACATGTCCAACCACAGTACTGCCACCTTAGCGTCGAAATTTATACATATTTTGATATTACCAACATTAACGACGCTTCTTTCTCTTTCTTGGCGCTTTTTACAACACCCATTTTCTCTCTCCTCTCATCACATCAAACAATGAAAATCCTTCATATTCCTTGTTTGGATGACAATTACTCTTACTTGTAATCTCCTTCTTCCTTAATTAGGGTTTCGTAGATTTCAATTTTCAATTCAATTCTGTTTGAAGTAATATTACTTTGTGGATTTTTTTAAAATTTTTTTGGAACAGGATTATTGATGAGCAGACGAAGGAAGCTACAGTTGTTGATCCAGTTGAACCAGAGAAGGTTCTAGAAGTTGCTAAGAACAATGATGCTAATGTCAAATTTGTTCTCACTACTCACCATCACTGGTAATTTTCTTTCATTTTTAGAATGATAATCATATTTCTTCAACAATTTTGTTTCAATTAGGGTTTTTGACAGCTTATTTTTTGCAATAATATTTTGTTTTATGTTGGAAATTGACTGGGATGATTGCTGATTATGGATATGAAGACCTAAAAGAATATTTATTTGTTTTGGAGTGATTTGAAGTTCATCTAATCCTATGTAAATGACAAACAAGATACATTAGTTTATCAAATTTTGGTTAATTGCCTGTTTAATTCAAAAAGAAGTACCTTTCGAAGTCTTTCGGAATGAAATTGAATTAAAAAGTAATTACCTTTGGGTTATTCAAATTAGACAAAAATCAAGGACCAACATTGTGCATTTTGAATTTGTATTTGTGACAATGGTTTTATATTTTTGATTATGTGTTTGCATGATGATATTATTCATGATAATACATTGCTTGTGCTAATCAGTCTATTGTTAATCTGTCATTCCTTCCTTTGGTTTTATAGTTGTTATTTCACCTGCATTTATGTTGCTATACGGTGTTGTGTTGACCATTGACACAACTAAGATGTGCATACGTTTGCTTGGCGTTGCAATTTGACACTTCATGTGGTGGATCTTCAATAAAGACTAGAGAATGGGTGGGAGGACTGAAAAGAAAGGCTTAGAAGAGTGTTATGGTATATGCTATATACACAAGAATGGATAGTCAATCTCTCTTTCTCTCTGTAGCCTTTTGGATTACAGTGGCACGGTTTGGTTTTGGGCTCAAATGGTAGTTAAATTTCGATTCAGTGTGTTATATAATGGGAATCACATTGGTATTCAACATCTAATTTCGAGTCTAATTGCCATAGTATCCAGTTGATTGCTTATATGTACGGGGCTCTCTTGTTTCAACCTGTCAAGGGTGTAATTTGTGCACAAAATTGCGACTTTGGGAGTGCACGTAGGTGTCATAGTAGTGGGATTCCAGAGAATAAGAGGTTTTTTCTAGGGTGCATCTTGGTTTTAAAAAGCGCGCCTCACTCCCAGGCTGTGGGAAATGGGCTTTAGCTAGGCGAGGCTCAGTCACCTACGGAAGGCGCACGCCTCAAAGCGCCTTTGGTAAGGCTCGCCTTTGCGCCTCAAGGAAAATAACTAAGATTTAACTTATAAATTGAAGAATGATAGACATTTTTTCAAATTCAGACTACCTTAGCTTTACATATATCATTATTTAATTTATTTTATTATGAATTTTTTTAATTGGTATTAAGTACAATCAAAGTAAAAAATAATTTGAAATAAATATATAAATACATGCGCCTTGCATACAAAAGGTGCTCGCCTAGGCTGCAAGGACCATTTGCGCCCTTTTAAAACTAAGGGGTGCATAATGGGAACCTAGTCTGAAGACTTCTTGTTGGCTTAGAAATTTGTTAAGGATTTACTTTGGACATTGGGTCCTCTCTCCTCTCCTTTACAATTTTCACAACAATTATTACCTAGTTTGCCAAAACAATCTACAGGGAGACATAGGTGCCCCCCTTTTCCAGTATGCGTTCATGCCATAAAGGATTTATTGTCTAATACACAGCAACTTCTGTGTGCTATTAATTATAGAACTAATTAAGGATCTGTATGGTATTGTTGTATGGACTACCACTTCCCATAATGTTGTGTTCGTTGATGTCATTTGAGAATACTTTTGTTGTTTTACTTCTGGGGCATATTTAAGATATTTTAGTATCTTGATTTGGTACTATTTGTCTTTCCTAATTGAATATGAAACCCCTGATTTTCAGGGATCATGCTGGTGGGAATGATAAGATAAGAGAGCTGGTTCCTGCAATCAAGGTTTATGGTGGTTCGATTGATAATGTGAAAGGATGCACTAATAAAATTGAAAATGGTGATAAGGTCTCGTTGGGAGCTGAAGTCAACATCTTGTCTCTTCATACACCTTGGTGAGTGAGTTTGCTCATAACTCAGTACTCAATTGTGCCTTGAGTGCACCTTCTTGTATGTTGCCCATAAGTGTCTTACAGGAAGAAATCATATCTGTCATGACTTGTTTTAAAGGCTCACATGTAAGTGAGCTACCAACAATTTTGTCATTAAGTGGAGGAAATGGACTACTTAAGTATGGAAACAGTCATCCACTTTTACCATAATGTCGATAATTGTTTGTTAGTGACAGTTGTCCCCCCCCCCCCCCCCCCCCCCCCCCCCCCCCCCCCCGGGAACTTGACAATTTATTCGTTGGATTCATGCATATTCTTAACATGATACTTTTTATTGATTGGATTCGTAATGAAAATGAAGATACCATTATTATGTTGTACGTATTATCTCTTATCCTTTTATTTTATAACTAAAGACTGCTGTTTAAACTAGGAGGTTTAAATTTGGACAAGAGAGTATGTTTGACTTGCCTCATCTATATTCACTGATTGTTTTTGTTTTTGGCTGTTTGCGATGAATTTGTTCCTTTTTTAAGGATAGAACCACACTTTCTATCTTTAGATTTGCATCCTATTAGTTTTGACTTTAGAATCCAATCCTTTCTAGTCGTCCTAAGAAGGATGATGGCTCATCACCAGCCTTTTTGCTTGCATGAAATTATAAGTATGAACTATGAAGTGATTATGGTTATTTTAATTTGTCTGCATGAGATATTACTGGAATATCATTCTTTTACAGTTGTGTAACGAATTTGCTTATCTTTGTCTTGCTCAGCCACACCAAAGGTCATATAAGTTACTATGTGACTGGCAAAGAAGATGAGAGCCCTGCTGTTTTCACTGGAGACACTATGGTATGACTGTTGGTAGTATGACAGGAGGCATTACTCTTGCTTATTTTTTTAGTTCATTGCTTTGCTGTTCTTTTTTTTTTTTTTTTTCAAAAAAAATAAAATAATAATAATTACTTCACCGGTTTTGTGGCAAGTAAAGAAAGGTTGATTCATTTGTAAAGTACACAAAAATATTTCTCAACAATAGTAGTTGTAGTAATTAGTAATCGCATCTGCCTAGTACTGCGAGATATTGATTTCATGCTTTATTAGAGCCATCAAGCCCAAGCCCATTTATCTTCATGTCTGTATTCATTTATAAAAGCTAATGGTCTCATATGTTATTTTGATTATTGTTGACAGTTTGTTGCTGGTTGTGGCAAATTTTTTGAGGGTACAGCAGAGCAGATGTATCAGTCACTCTGCGTGACATTGGGTTCTTTGCCAAAGCCGACTAGAGTTTATTGCGGTCATGAGGTGAATGATTTTCTAAGATCTTCTGTAGTTGTTTGATTTCATTTGTCTCTGAATCTTGGCTTATATTTCAGAAAAGCAGGTCCCATTGCTTCTGATCTCACAATTTTTATTTCTCATCGGGTGCGCCATTTAACAGACCTACAGAAAATCAGAAACTATTGATGTGGAATAAGGAACAAGCTTTTATCAAATAAATAAATGTAAACCATGGAAAAAGAAATTTAAGCTACATTAAAGCCTAGGATAATCGGTTTGCAAGTTTTTGGCAAGCGCTGCTGCTTGATTCTACTAAAACTTTGTTTCATCTTTGTTGCTTGTGTCTAGAATCACCCAAATCCTTTCAGAAACCCAAAATTTCCTACCTTTGATTTTTCAAATGAACACATAATGGATTGGTGGTGGCTACGTTGGCCCTGGGGCTTTAGTCTTTCCTGAATACCCAAGGTCATACTTGCAAGATTGCAAGAAGGATGACAAATGAGTCCTAATCTGTTCATCCCTTTGTCTTGCCAAACTCTTGTCGGTTTGAAACTTCTGCAGAATCACAGAAAATCTTGGAAAGAGAAGCTTACATTAATATGACTATTCTTGAATAAATTTTTTATCACCAATTGAAATGTGAACATTAATCTGAATCTGCCCCACTACAACTGAAATTATTTGCAGTATCTTCATTTCTCCATAGAACTAAGCACCTCAGAATCATGGGTGTGTGTCTTGACTTCCTCGTTTTTGTAGTTCTTTAAGACATTCCATCAGCATAATTGATGCTTTCTCCCCCTTAATTTTGAAAACCTCTCCCCCCTGCACAGTCATTAAGAACCTCAACCATGCTATCTGCAGTCTGAAATCCCTGTTTGCTCCAATAATGACTTTAGTCTTTTTTGGACTTATGCAAACCTTTTACAATTGATACAGTTGACTGAATACTTTGCCAATTGTTAGTAAAATCTGGAGGTGCACATACATATAAGGACTATATTAGTCAATCAAAGTTATGAGTATGGCAAAAGAAAGGGAAATGTGCCTATGAGCTGTTCCTGCACTTTTCTATCCAGATCCTTTCAACATGGTATCATAAAGAAGGAAATTCGGTCTCCCTAGAGTCCCTGCCCAACCAAGAGAAAACGAATTGTTCACTTTGCCTCCCCTTCTGTTGAGAATTATACTCCGTAGTTTCAAGCTACCAATGTCACAGTGTGTCCAATGGACTGCAAATCGAGAAGATGATTACTTCCTTTGTAGCCTGGGCTTTTGGGGGAGGTCTTTGTTTTAGTTGTTTGAAAATGAAAGATACTTGTATCTTAGGAAGGCTGTTACCCTTATTTCCTGCCAATGCTGTGACAATAACGCAGGACATACAAATATGCTGAACTGCTGATGATTTTCTCTGTGATAAGTGATGGTCGTTATTGCTCACCTTTTCTCTTCTAATTGCAGTACACAGTCAAGAACCTTCAGTTTGCTTTGACAGTGGAACCCGAAAATGCAAAGATAGCGGAGAAATTGGCATGGGCTCAGAACCAGCGAAATGCTGGCTTGCCTACTATTCCATCAACCATTGCAGAGGAGCTAGAAACTAACCCATTCATGCGGGTTGACATACCTGAGATTCAGGTATTTGTGTCGCACATTATCTCTTCAATTTGCGATCTATGCTATCTGGGTTGAGTTTGGATCTTTTTTTAATGTTATGTTAAAAGTTGTCTAAAGTTCATTCACACAATAATTTGATAAGTATAGAGCTCATTTGTAGACTCAATTAAGAACCTTTACTGTCAATTAAGATGACGATGATTGTTTATTTCCACCTTTGGTTCTATGTGCTTGTCATTGTATTTCATAGTTGAGTTAGATTGTTATAATCTTTGAATATACTCCCTCCATTCCACTAGGAACTACTCACTGTAGACGCACAATTTTTGCAAATGGCCAAGTATGAATAAAGTATATTACTGTTCCAAAATCGGATTAAAATGAATAGTTCTTTATGGAATAGATGAAAGTAGAAAGTGAGTAGTTCTTTGTGGAACAGAGAGAGTATAGATGAAAATAAAGGTCAGTTGTTACTCTTTGTATCTCAATTTATTTGTTCATGAGCAGAAGGCACAATATTTTAGAAGTGAATGAGTTAGTGTGGGTTGTGGAACCAAACTTACTTAAATATAAGTAGAGTAGAGGTTTTCCCTAAAAAAGAATGGGGCAAGTAATTTGAGACATAAAAAACAAGAAAATGAGGCAAATAATTGAGACGGGGAGGGAGTGTATTAAAATATATCTCAATATTATACAAAATTTATATGTCTTTACAAGAATATTCATTTTCTTTTTCTTCAAAATAAATCTCTCACTGGGTCTCTCTCTATATATATCCCAACTTGACAATGTTTAAATCTATATATATCCCAACTTGACAATGTTTAAATCTATATATATCCCAACTTGACAATGTTTAAAGAAAAATTTACCCTATTATAGTTTTCATTTGTTTGGGTTATGCTATGGAAAGAAAATTTATTTAAATAATTATGAAATAAATTTTTACTATTTCATAATTAAAAATCACCTATCTTTGTTTTTTTTATTTATTTACTGCTGATTGCTGGAGTGCATGACACAATACAACAGCAATGTTAATCATTTACATGTACTAGACTCTTAGAAACTTAGATAATTACAAGTGACTTAAACATGTTTAATTTTTGCATTCTAAAATTTTGCCTTGTTATTAGTTTGCATTGATTTCATTAAAGTTATAGTGGTCCAGTGGGTATGTGTTACGAAGTACTCCGTATTATTTTGCACTGTCAAATGTGAAGTTGCTGTTTAATAGCGACAAAAAAAACACTATCTAATTAGTAATTCAACATGCAAAATACACTGATGTTTTGAGAATTCTCCCTATTTTAATTAGAAGAGTACTTGTGAAAAATTTTATGTATATTTTTCATTTAAAAAGAACGCGAGTATTAAAGTTTGACATCATTGAGAAAAAATAATGGGATCATCATTTTGAATTTTGAACTTTTGGGTGTAATATTTAATGTAAGTTTTGGTGTAATTAACAATATACAGAATTATGCTAGGTTGGTTTCTCGAAATGTATGTACACCATACTGATTTTATGTTTGGAACAGCTAAAGTTTGAGATATTGATACCAGATTTTCTACAAAAAAGAGTGAACTGAGCTGTTCTTTCTCAAACAACCTTAAAGAGTCTAATACATGTTTTCAGGTGTCTTGTTGTTTCTCTCATATATTCTTTTTCCTTTGTTTTTATTTTGCAGAAAAAACTTGGTCTCAACTCCCCAGTAGAAGCCCTTCGGGAAATAAGGAAACTTAAAGATAACTGGAGAGGCTAACGAAGGGCTTACCAACCGGTGTGTAATTCTAGTTTGTAAATTTATGGATGTCGTTCTTGGTCAGAGTCAGCATTTTAATAAATCTATGGCATCCAACTTTGCATAATTTTCTGGAAATAATAATGTACTTTTTAAGGAGAGGTTAAGAAATATTTTCACCACTTTATTAGACTGCATTAGTTTTTTCAAGTGATGATGCTAGTATTTGTGTGTCCTAAAGCATTTCCCCCATTTTCAGACACTTTAATCAACAATCAATTCATGTAAAACAATGATAAAGTAAACCCCATGTGCGTTTCATTGCAATATGCATCACCCTTTACATCCCATGGAACATACCTTGCCTTTGATCCCTAGACAATGCTCTTTTTGCTCCTTTATTTCTTGCTTTTCCTTTTCTCGAGCCGTCACCGTTCGTGGTCGAGGATTACATACCTACATATACTAGATTATTATTATTATTATTATTATTATTATTATTATTATTATTATTATTATTATTATTATTATTATTATTATTATTGTGTTTCTAATTATTATCATTGTATTATTAAGGGGTTCATAGATTATTATTGGCTTATCGCTCGTAAAAGGCGTGAGCCGTATGACTACTGTTATTTAGGACAAGCTATGTTCCCCATGATAGCAACTTGCACACAAAATGTGTGATAGGATACAAAATATCATATGGTTGTGAAAGTGAAGTAATAATCTATGGTTCAAATAATGGGTGCAAAGCACTAACTTTGAAAGGGAATCGAGCCTTCATTGATTCTTTTAGTTGGCTTGATGGGGAACAGCAAGGTTCCATTTCCAGCTAGAACAAGTGTAGCCGATAAGTCCCACAACATGAACACTAATACGAACACCCCATATTTATGCCCTGGACCATTACGCTTTTGTCTCATGTCTATTTCATCTTATAAATTAGGACTCCTTTTTTGGCCTTTTAGGGTAGGTGATTGTGCCCTTTTTTCATTCGGGTTCGCGGTGTTTGCTTTGGTTGGGTAAAACTCGATTACTAGAATAACTGGTACAATTTGACTTAATGTACTATTCTGCTATTCATATATCGTAAACAAGAAATAACCTCGCACTTTTTGTGGCTTTCTTGCTGGCATCGTGGGTCATTGTTGCTTTGGAGTTATAGGCAAACTACTCGGCAACTAGAAAGTATTTTCTTCTCAATTATATGCCTTTTATTGTCTTCAAGACTTCGACCCTTTTTGGTTCAAGGGAATTGGCCGGAAAAGAAAGAAAGGAAAAGGCGTTAATTTGTTCCCATATTTGGTTTGATGAATGACATACGGAGTAAGAAGGAAAGGAAAGGAAGTTAAAGGAAAACCTCTTTACAAATTTTAGCTTTCCCTTCCTCCCAATATTGAAGGAATTCGACTGAAAAGAGAAAATAGAAGCACATTTCCTTTCTCTTTCTGTCATTACCTTTTAATAATCAAACATTGGAAATAAAATTTCCTTCTCTTCCTTTCTTTTCCCCTCCTTTCCTTTTTTTTCTTTTCCTTTACTCGGTTGAGTACACTGTACCCAGAGGTGAGAGATATTTTGGAGGTTAATTTTAATTTTTTTTTCTTTTAAAAAAAACATATTAGGTCCTGTTTCTTTAAATTAAACTAAATCCCAAAATAATAATGGATCATTGTTTTACTACACATAGGTCATAACCCTAAATTCCTAAAATTTAAAAGAGTCGCGTTGGATGTATTTTCCAAATTCACTTCCAAAAAAATTGTTTCTAATCTAATATTAATTTCCAAATTCACTTCCAAAAAAATTGTTTCCAATCTAATATTAAATGGAGAAAATATCACAAATTCATGTATATTTCTTGTTATGGTGTAATATTTACCAATTTTATTTCAATTTATAAATTTCATTTTTTAAGAGCAATATTTTGACTTTTACATATGTATAGTAACATAAACTAAATTATCATTGACTCATTGTGGTAAACAAAGGCCCTGTTATTTTGCTTCTGGGCAGGTCAGATTAGGGCACGGCAGAGCGGAGTAGGACAAAGCAGAGCTGATTTCAGCAGAGCAGGGCTAGGCTTCCACACACTGCGGAACGGAGCAGGGCAGGGCAAAGCAGAGCAGATTTCAGCAGTGCAGAGCATAGCAGCTCTAAAGTACAGGGCCAAAGTGAAGTATCCACAACGTGGGTTCTCTTTTATTTGTGCATAGGGTCTGTTCTGATTGACTGAACTTAACTGAACTTATTAGAGCCGAACTGAATTGAATTGAACTAAATATTTTATGAGATAAGAAAATTAAGAACTAAACTGAACTAAACTTATTGGAGCGGAGCTGAACTTAACCGAACTGAATTGAATTGAATTGAACTAAAATGAAAATAAGTTGAAAAGAACAGGGTCGTAGTATTAGTGAAGATAAATTGTTGTTTAAATTTTTGATGTAGCTCATGACCTCATGTGCAACGAGCGGGGCACAATGTAGCTTATTGTATGGCAAAGTGAGATACACAGACCTTGTTGGCAATTGTCAACTGGTTTGGCGAATGATTTGTATTATATTGAATGCTTCACTTTTTATTTGTTGAAAAATATGTTTGGTAAAATTGGTCGTTTAGTAATTAAGGTGTGTACACAAAAATCAAATTAAGTCCAAGTCTCCAAGCAATCTTTTCATTTTGGTTTATGATTAGGGGATTTTTATCCACCAAGCGCCGTTTGACAAGTGGACCAACCAGGTTCCGCCACGCGTCCTCCACGGACCACTTAAGACACGCCACGTGTCCACCCATGCCAAATGGGACAACCGGCCATCAAGGCCCATTTCAGTCTAGAAGCCCGTTCGGCCCTAGGTTTACCTTAAACCTAGAGAGTTGCACGCTTCCCAAGGCTATAAATACTCGATTAATCCTCATTAATCAAGGGACCGAATACATTACGGAACACACTAATAACCGGCTGATCTCGCTAGCAAAGCAGATTACCTACATTAAATACTCTCACCTAGAGAGACCTTATTACTTTGATTTCTGTATTAATTACTCCTTAATCAGGTACTAACTTGACCGTTGGAGGCGGAGCTCTCAGGAGTCTCCGTTATTTTGCAGGTACAGGCGTCCGGTTCCAGTCTCGGAATTGTAGCTCTCCCGCAGGACATCAGAAAACCCCGAAACATTTGGCGCCGTCTGTGGGGAGAGTACTTCAGAGATGGCATCCAAGTCTGTACCGACCCCAGAAGAGAGGCGTCCCCTAGACGACCCTCAAGTTCAGTCGGACCATGATACCGAAAGTGAATTTGAAGTTGAAACTCATACAGCTCCAGACGGGACCCTAAGGGCCCGCCGTACCCGTCATACTGAAATAAGGGAACGGGAGTATCTTCAAACAGGAAGCGAGCCAGCAGGCGCACCGCTTGCTCGGCAACAGCCGACTGATGGGTCTGCTCCCATCACAAGGAACGAACTCATGACCTTCATGAGGGGATTCAAGGGAGAGATCCAAGAGTTGATCAACAAAAAACCGCCTGCTTCAGTCAAAGAGCAGGCGGCCAAAAAACCTTCCACTTCACTGAAGAGGAAGCCAGTTCAAGGGCGAGAGGCGACTCCCCATCCTAAATCTAAGAAGCGGGAGCCGTCTGCTCTTGATTTCACAAAACTCCGTTATCCTACGGGAAATAGGAAACCGGTTCGTCATATTCAGGCGGACGGGTCAAAGCAAACGTTCACAGATGCTCGGCACCTGCTAGAGCAGAAGAAGAGTGACCGATTATCAGAGTCGGCTTCTACTTCAAATTTTCAGGACAGTTTGCGAAATGCCTCGATGAGGCCAACTCAGTCGTACCATGAGAGTCAGTCAGGCGGCACCTCCCGTCAGTCTGGCTTTCATAGTGCGCAGGCGGTACCAAATTTACCATTTGTGCCGCAACAACAATATTTTATGCAGCCACCTCCATTTGGTGGACCTGCAGCAAAAAACGTCCAACCTATGGACTGGCAGCTACGGCTGCTTAGACTTGGTGAACAGCCGTCGGCCTTCTCCAAGGAAATTACTGAAGCCGCTCAGCCGGCCAAAGTAAAAAATGTTTTAGTAGGCGCCTATGATGGCACTACTAACCCGGAAGACCATCTGATGGCATTCACCAACCTGATGTACCTTCAAGGGTTGGATGATCCCACTTGGTGCAAGTGTTTCCCAGCAACTCTCAAGGGAATTGCACAGCAATGGTTCGGCAACCTGCCGACTGGTTGTGTAAACAGTTTCAGGACGCTTGCTTACTTATTTGCCTCCAACTTTGCAATGAACATCCCTGCGAAGAAAACGACCCTTGATTTGGGAACAATTCAGCAGGGTGAAAAGGAGGGGCTTCGTTCCTACATCAGGCGGTTCAACCTGATGAGAATACAGATTCAAGGGTTACCGGATGAGGTAGCTTATACTGACTTTTTTAGAGGTCTCAAAGACGGGTCTACCTTCAAATTTGATTTAGTTCGAAAAAGGGTGGCGACTCTTCAAGAGGCCTTGATTGAAGCAGAAGCCTATATACAGGCGACTGATCTGTGTACAATGAAACAGTCGGACGGGAAGAGGTTCGACAATAGAGAAGGACGACAGAAACAGTCGTCCAACAAAGATGAAAAAAGAAAAGGGGTCTGGGCGGCTGATTCCTCTAAACAGCCGGCCAAGAAGAAAAAGGAATTCAAACCATACTCCCCAAAGTATGTGTTTAACAAGGATAACCAGTTTATCCTAAAAGAAATAAAGGGACGGCTCTCAATTGAGAAACCGCTCCCCATGAAGGGTTCTGCGAGCAACCGGAACCAAGACAAAATCTGTGCTTATCATGATGACATTGGTCATCACACCAACGACTGCATTAGTCTCATGCGGTACCTAGACCGCTTGGCTGATCAAGGTGATCTTGACACTTATGTCAAGAAATCTACGGGGAATACTTCCTCAAAAAAGCAGTCGGCCAAAAAGAATCAACAGGCCGACAGTTCCGATACAGATGATGCAGTCGTCTACACCATTGCAGGCGGCTTCTCAGGAGGCGGCCCCACTATTAGGGGCAACAAAGATAATATAAGGCGGTTAGATGTAAATTCCGTTCACCAAGAACGACCGTCCAAATATACATTTCCTGAGATTGTCATCACTGAAGAGGATCTAGGAGGAATAAGGGGGCCGCATGACGACCCTCTCGTTATTGAATGTAAAGTGGCCAACCAGAGAGTTGGTCGAATCCTCATAGATACTGGGAGCTCTTCAGATCTCATCAGCAGCAAATGTCTGTCAAAACTGAAATATCAGACGGACTGCATACATCCGGCCTCCCACCCTTTAATAGGGTTTGGAGGAGGAGTCGTCCACCCACTGGGACGAGTTGATCTACCCGTCCGCCTGGGCGAAAAAGGGGAAGGACGACACATGGTAGTCCGATTCCTAGTTGTAGAGGAACTCTCTGCCTACAACATGATTCTGGGTCGCCCAACCCTGAATAGTGCCAAGGCTGTTATAATCCCGTCACTTATGCTGCTTAAGTTTGAAAGGGACAATGGAACAGTCGGCTCCCTTAGGGGAGATCAGAGGATGGCCCGAGAGTGCTATCTCTCGGATGTCAAACCCACTGCTAAGGCCACTGGGTCAAGTGGAGAAAAAACAGACCTTGACAATGTCAAGGAAAGTGCGCCTGTTCAAGAAACAGGCGACAGAAAAAGAAAGGCGTCCCAGACAGAGTCCGCCAGAAAGGCAAGAAAATAGCAATCATTGGCAGAGGACCGGCCGGATGAGTTCCGCCCTCAGCCGGCTGGTGAGCATACGGACCTGATATTAGACGACTCCCGCCCTGACCGAACAGTCAAAGTTGGGACGACTGCTCTGAGAAACCTTGGTGATGACTTTCACAACCTGTTGAAAGAATACAAGGACATCTTTGCATTTGAAGTCCATGAAATGCCAGGCATTAGTCCTGATCTGGCAGTACACAAACTCGCTGTGGATCCGAAAAAGAAGCCGGTACGGCAAAAGAAGCGGAACCATGGTGAAGAAAGAGGTCAGGCGGCCGCCGCCGAAGTCAAAAAATTACTTGATGCAGGGTTCATTCGGCAATGTTACTTCCCAGATTGGGTTGCAAATGTGGTACTTGTTAAAAAGCCGAATGGCACCTGGCGAATGTGTGTAGACTACACAGACTTGAACAAGGCGTGCCCCAAAGACAGTTACCCTCTGCCCAAAATTGATAACCTGGTCGACTCAACAGCCGGCCATGCCTTGATGAGTTTTATGGACGCCTATTCTGGTTTTCATCAAATTCCTTTGTGGAAGAAAGATCAGGAGAAGACGGCCTTCGTCACTGATCAGGGATTATACTGTTATACGGTCATGCCGTTTGGTCTTAAGAATGCCCCGGCTACATTCCAACGAATGATAAACACAGTGTTCTTTGATCAGATTGGGAGAAACGTCGAGGCATACATTGATGATATGATTGTTAAGACTAAACTTCAGAAAGATCATCTGACGGACCTCCGAGAAACTTTCGCCACACTCAGGCGGCACCATGTCATGCTCAATCCCAAGAAATGTGTATTTGGAGTTGAGTCTGGGAAATTTCTCGGATTCCTTATCAACCAGAGAGGAATAGAGGCGAACCCTGAGAAGGTACAGGCGGTCGTTGACATGCAGTCGCCTCGTACCGTCCGAGAGGTTCAGAAGTTAACAGGTTGTCTGGCGGCCTTGGGAAGATTTCTAAGCCGATCAGGCGACAAATGCCTATACTTTTTCCAGGCAATTAAGAAAAAGGCAAGGTTTGAATGGGGGCCGGATGCTGAGGCCGCCTTCCAGAAATTAAAGGTTCACTTGCATTCCTTGCCAAGGCTGGTCAGCCCTTTGCCCAAAGAAAATCTCTACATGTACCTGGCCGTCTCTGATCATGCGTTAAGCGCGGTGCTCCTTGCTGAAAGGGACGGCTGTCAACTTCCGGTCTACTTTGTCAGTCACGTACTGAAAAATGCCGAGTTGAGGTATCCCCTAGTGGAGAAATTTGGTCTTGCACTCTTCATGGCTGTTAAAAAATTGAAGCCCTACTTTCTGGCACATGCAGTCGTCGTGTATACCGACCAACCGATCAAACGGCCCCTTACCACCATGGAGTCCTCCGGACGAATGATCAAATGGGCCATAGAAATGCAGAGTCTCGAAGTTACTTTCGAGCCTAGAAAAGCAGTGAAGGGGCAAGCCTTTGCTGACTTTATTGTAGAGATGACTCGTCCTCCTGACTCTCAAGTTCCAGACCAAGTCTGGAAGGTATA